TTGAACCAATTGAGGAACTGGAAGCTAACAATGTGGACACTAATCATGAAGGTATGGATTCTAATGACGATGTTGGACCTATCATACATACAGTGCATACATTAGTCAGCTACTCTGACCCACAAACTATGAAAGTTGGAGGAACTTTGGAACATCAACATGTTACAGTTTTGATTGATACTGGTAGCACTAACAATTTTATGGATGGTAAGGTTACCGCCCGATTGGCCTACCACATTGAAGACTGTAATAAATTCGAAGTATAGGTCGTCGATGGACGGATTTTAACCCGTGATAGCAAGTTCTCAAAGATTAAATTGACTTTGTAAGGCCAAAAATTGCTTGTGGATTTCTTTTTGCTACCCTTGGAAGACTTCGAAGCGGTGGTTGGAATTGAATGACTATCAACCTTGGGTGATGTTTCGTGGAACTTTTCTAAACTAATCATGAAATTTTTTATTAATGGAAAGCAGGTGATCCTAAAGGGAAGACGTGAAAGTAAGGTCACAACTACCACTAGCCATCGGATGAAGAGGGTTTTTTAGAAGACTGTAACACCGAAAGGCCGACCTATTGCTTACACTATCAAGAGGTGGAGACCGTACTTATTTGATCAACGGGTTACGATACGCCACTGATACCTTGTGACTGAAGTGCTAAAAGAGAAACTCTCCGAGTTTGATATTGCTCAGCCTTGAGGACAAGGCTGATTTGAAGGGGGAGGAATTGTTAAGATCCCTTTATTTTCTGAGCTTTTGAATAATATTTATTTAGTCTGTTTAGTTTAGTTATAGTCGGATAGACATTTATTTAATATTTATTTATTATTAAGAGTAAGTCCTGGTGGACTTTGGGTGGAACTCTATAAATAGGGATGTAATTGTTTCTTTTTGGCAAACAATGAAATATTATTTAGTCTTTTGGCAAATCCTAGGAGGTTGATCCCCTCGAAGTGATCAAGGAGGCCGATCCCCTCGAATTGATCATCCCCTTTTCTCCCCTTTCTTCCATGATAAAACCCTAAGGTTTTATCAATATCTTCTCCTTTAATTTGTTGTGTTATATTATTTGTTTTTTCTTCTCTTTCTCTCTCTATCTTGAAGATGATTTCTTTCAATGTCATATATTTTAGACTATTTCCTTTTATTTCTTTGGTTTTTCTTCCCTCTATATAAATCTCCTAATCAATGGGGTTTATATCTTCAATCTTTATTTACTTGTTTGGCAAAGTAACTATAGTTTATTTCATTATTACTTTTTGGTTTTATTTCACTTAACATATTTATTTTAATGATATTTTCTTCTTCTTCTTCTTCTTCTTCCATGTTTCTTTTTTCCTGTAATTCGAAAATCTCACTGTTGCAAATCCTTGAACATTGGTATATATGTTTCTTGAGGTTGCTTCTAGTTCTTCATCTCACCTCTTGCTTATGTTCCCTAATTCCCAGTCTTCAAATTTTAAAGTGTCAATCTTTTTTGCTAGGATCATATTTATGCCTCTTCTTGCAAAACTTTCTACTAATTTTTCTCTTTGTAATAAAAATCTTACACAAGAGCTGTTATGTAGCTTTCTGATTAACCCTATTGTAACTGCAATATTATTTACATCTGGAATCATGTCATAATTTTTATTTTTGAATATTATCTTAATATATCTTAAAAATTCTACTAGATTCATGGAAAAATTTGGTATACACCCTATTACACCATAATTATCATTCATATTACATTTATGCATAGCTATACGTCATAACCATTCTCCGATATAAAACTTTGAATATTTAACTAATGATTTTTGTAATTCTTCTGAATTGAAGTTTGTTATGACTGCTTAATTGACACATGCTATTTTGCATTGCTTTACTTGTCTTGTTATTTTCTTTTTACCTTCAAAAAGTCTTGTTCTATATGGTGAACATCCTTTTTTTTTTTCTGTCTTCTGTCTTCTGAGATTATTTTCAATGTATGCTTGTGTGTCTCCTAAGTCATATAATGCTAATTCTTTTCCTTTTCTTGAGCCCCCTCTTAACAGTTTTTCCACCGTCCTTTGACTACTGCTTCTTTTAAGTTGGGTTTCCATCTTTTGATTCACTGGATGCTTTAAATTCTATTTGTGTAAAGTCTAGCCTTTTGGTTTTAGTTAGTCTTGATGTGCCTAAAGGGACTTTCAATTTTTCTATTTGTAATTGCTCTAGCTTTTCTATTTTTTCTTTAAGTTCTATTTTGGTTTGGATTAAATATTCCACTATTGTATTTAAGGTAGCTGCATGATTTTGATTACTATTTTTCTCATATTTGACTGTATCAAAATAAGTTGTAGGTATATTTTTTATTCTTAGTTTATGTATGACTCTTGCTAAAGTTCTATCTTCCTTACTCATGCACAATTTTATTTATCTCTTTTATTTGTGTTTGTGGGCTTTTAATTATTTCCTTGATATTTTCTACCTCAATTTGTAATTCTATGACCAATTCATTAGTTTCTTGTTCTATTGTTTTAGGGTCTAATATATTTATTGCTTCTAGCCTTCTACTACCTTTTTTAGTTCTTTTTTATTCAGGCTTTGTTTGATAATTTCTACTGCCTCTTTAATTTGTTCTCATATGTAGTCTAGGTTTCCTAATAAAGTTCGATTATTATGACTTAGTCTTCTAGCTGAATCTATAAGTTCCAAAATTTCTTTATTTGTTTTTTCTTGCTGTTCTCGAAGACTTCTGAAAGATTTATAAAACAATCTATTATCATATTTTCTACAGGCTAACCTTGAAGACTATGTACTTGATATTCTTTAGGTATGTAGGTATTAGTTAGCTTGGCTAGTAAAGACCTTGATAGCTTATCACAAGATCTTGGGATCAAATCTTGTCTTCGTCACTTTTCTTTTACACAAAAAAAAGTTCTTCGAGTATTCTATCGTTTAATTTGTGCTCTCTTTCTAAATTATTTTTTATTTTTGTTTGCTTTTCTATTTCTAAATCTAACTAAGATAAATGATCTATATTGAAAAATTCAATCTTAAATTTTTGCTCTGATGCCAACAATATGCAGCAACTAATAAAGCGTAAATGCAATAGAGTATAACCACAGCAGCAACTATTAAGAATAACACAACCAGAGTGATATGAAATTGAATGAAAGCTGTAAACCCTAAGCTAAAAGGATCCTTTTATGTAGAACCCTAAACCTTGGTATCATTCCAATATTCTGTACCGTGTGTTATTGTATTGGTACGATACATCCCAATATTCTGAAAAAAAGACAAAAAATGGCCTGAAATTCAGAAAAACCCTATTTTTGGGGTTTTCTATTATTTTTATATGAATAATATTTAGATAACAATAAAGTGTATCTAAGTCATAAATTAATAGAATTCTAGGTAATTGGATGCAATTGGGCCTAAATATAACAGAATTACCTTAATAATAACCACAGTAGCAACTATTAAGAATAGAGTATAATCACAGCAGCAACTATTAAGAATAACACAACCAGAGCGATATGAAAGTGCATGAAAGTTGTAAACCCTAAGCTAAAAGGATCCTTTTAGGCAGAATCCTAAACCCTGGTATCATACTGATATTCTGTACCATGTGTTGGTGTATTGGTACGATACATACCAATTCTGAAAAAAGGCAAAAAATGGCCTGAAATTCAAAAAATCTCTATTTTTGGGGTTTTCTGTTATTTTTATATGAATCATATTTAGATAAGAATAAGGTGTATCTAAGCCATAAATGAATAGAATTCTAGGTAACTGGACCCAATTGGGCCTAAATATAAGAGAATGACCTTAATCATGCTTAATTTTCCTAAGTATGCAATAATAAGTCTCAAATGGTATGAAATGATAAATAAAACATAGGAAGAAGTTAAATACCTTCAATCAGAGAAAAATTCCATTGGATCTCAAGTTTTAATCCCTCTTTTATTCATATGTAGAGGTTGATTATACTTACTGCTGATTAGGAAGATTAACGAAGTGAGAGTGTGAGAAAGAGTAAGAATGAGAGTGAGAGTGAGTGAAAGAGGGGGAGGGAGGAGGATTTAAAGGGCCAAAACCGGGCCAAACAGTCAATTTGACCATTGGAACCTGGTTTGACTGGGGGATAATGGTACAATCAAAATATGACCGTTATCGACTTGCATCGGTCAGTTCGGTCGAGGTGTTTTGACCGTATCGGTCAGTACAAGAGATGTACCAACTGGTATGCCCATCCCTAACCACGTACTGTCTGAAACGGATCAGCTGGCAGACCATTACCAATTATTTTGTAGCATATTGGGCCGTATGTAAAACCAATTACAACAATCTTGCACATTCCAAGCATATGATTCTATCATTCTAAATCTACACGCTATGTATTGCATAACATTCAGAATTCATCTATGCATGCCAATATGCCACCTCAAATATCAAGCCTTAGAGTGTGAAACTGTTCTTTTAAAGAGGATACAGACATGCCTGCTAGTTGTAGCCTTGTACACACTTGTCATGTGCAAAATAAGTCCAGATCGAGCTCTTTCATGATGTAGATGTTAATGCATTTCAGTGTGTTTCATTTGCTTTGACAAAATTTCGTTTCAACATTCGGTCCAAATGATTTACCATAAACTTTTTCATTTAGTTGTGATGGTTGAATTTTTTGAGAGAAATATAAAAAGTAATGGACGTCAATACCATCACCTTTGACAAGATTTTGGCACACCAAAGGCATGTAGCTTCAAACAATTTAACTTAAGATTGTTCAGTCAGTTGTTATGGTTGGATTTTTTGATTCACCTACTGCTAACTTGTGTATGACGTTATGCTGCTGTACATCTAAAGATGAGATTTCTCTGAAGTGGTAAAATTAGGTTTCTGTTTGGTTAATAATGCCACTCTATGGATTGCTAATAAAAGAAACTCATCATGCTTCATTAGGAATATGTGGATATCATAATAAATATTTTCTCTTTATGAATTGCACGATCTTGATAGAGTTTAAGTTATAAAGTTATTTAAGATGTTATTTGTTCCCAGGTAGCTATCAACAAATCCGAAGCAGGTATGGAGCGGCTTGTATGGTCCATTCATAACCCCTGGATTCCGAGGCCACTTCTAAGCATGCATGTCAGGATGGGAGACAAAGCTTGTGAGATGAAGGTTGTCGGATTTGAACACTACATGCAGCTAGCTGACCGCATCCGTAAGCATTTTCCGGACCTGAACAGCATATGGCTCTCCACAGAAATGCAGGCATGTCCTTGGATGCTTGTGACACTCGATTCCATTGCTACATTTCCACTCCACTGAGACAGTATAATCCTACATGCAGGAAGTCATAGACAAAACGAGGCGATATCCTAGTTGGACCTTCTACTATACGAATGTTACGCGCCAGGAGGGGAGCATGACGATGGCCACATACGAGGCAAGTCTTGGGAGAGAGACCAGTACAAACTATCCCCTTGTGAACTTTGTAATGGCGACCGAAGCAGATTTCTTTGTCGGAGCTTTGGGCTCAACATGGTGCTATCTCATCGATGGCATGAGGAATACTGGGGGAAAAGTGATGGCTGGGTATCTCAGTGTCAATAGAGATCGGTTTTGGTAGCTGATTCAAGATCACAGAACTGAGTATATATATGCTGTACATGAACGTCTCCCAATGTGGGTATTTGTACATATAAAAAAGAATTATATAGAGTATATATAGTTTGAATAAGAACTTCGAGTCTTTTCAATATTTCTGTCGACATTATTTTGTTTTATTGTCAGATACTACTTATCTGATGATGGTTAAGTTGCTCGATGAGTCTGTGTTTCTTAGATCTCTAAGTTGGACTCGAAGCCAGAAACCAGTATGGTCATAGTTATCAGATTAATTATTGACTAAACCTATATCTCAATTTGGTTAATTATTTTCAAATTAACGTTTCTTTGTGTCTAAGTTGTCTAAATCATTTAAACATAATCAAATAACCATTTTCTAAAAAATGATTTTAAACGACCCCTCACAACTTCTTGTAAAGTATCATTTATTTTTAGATTTATTACAAGTTAAATAAAATATAATTTTAGTCTCAGGCAGATTTATGTTCATGGAAAGACTCATTTATAAAACAAAAAAGAAAAGGAATTACGGCGTATTTTTTAAATATATGTCGTATATTTCTTTCTTTTAAACAAAATAATCCTTTACTACGAGATCAAACTATTACTACTCTTCTCCAATGAATGTTTCAAAATTTAGATCGTCGAAAATTGAAGACGAGTCAATGTCTCGGTTTTGGGTATGTTGGTTAGATTGTTCAACGATAGCCTGAATGCAAAGATCCTAAAATAGATATAGTGAGTCTTTAAATTAATCTGATATGATTTTGTAATTGGTTCTGATAGATTCTTGTGTTTTTATTATTTATTATTTATTTTAATCATGAATTGTTCTTACTGCTAAATTAACAAAATGCTTGGTACATGACATATGGCTTGAAAAGTATAAATAAATATGACATATGGTCATATTTAGATATTATAATTATATAAGTGCTATTATATTGATATTGTTGAATCTTGTATTTTGATGATGAAACCAATTGATAAGTGTTTATGATTTAATCTGCGTTTTGAATGACATAGGATGTTTCGCTCAGAGAGAGACAATTAAAGAAGGAAAAATCATGTTGGGCCGGAGGAAAACATGTCAGAAGATTGGACGTCGGGCCGGAGGATCGGTCGACTTATTGACAAAAGGCTTCGGGCCATGGATTCGAACATCGGGCCAAGAAGAGCGGATATTGCACCAAGGATATTGGAGTTGTGGAGTCAACTGGCCAATTGGGCAATAGGATGTAAGAAAGGATGATGCATTGAAGAATAGGATGAAGCGTCGATGAACCAATGACATGTTGGACAACATGATTCAAGCTTAGTAATAATTGTTTAGATAGAAGTGTATTTTTACATGTATAGGGTTAACTACGATAGCAAGGCATAAAGCAAAATGACGTCCCGAAGTCAAGAATGTGATTTCGTTGGGAGTTCAAGAGTTCGTCGGAAGTCCGAACGTTCATTAGAAGTTCTGCAGGAACCAGCTGAGAAGTCTCGAAGCTTGCTAAAGAAGCACGTCGGAACTCGCCAAGAAGATCGTCGTGAAGTCCAGGAGCTTGCGGGGAGTCCGCTGGAACATTGTCGAGAGATCGTTGGAAGTTCGCTAGAAGATCACCAGAAGATCGTCTGAAGAAACTAGATTTACGGACTTGTTTAGCTTAGGAAATGTCTTAGAATTCGTAGTTAGCACATAATTGGGATTGGATTTTAGCCAACCAAATTAGGGGTCAGTTGGGCCCATGTAAGGATTGTGTTGGGCCCAATGAAAAGCCCAAATAGTGACCCAAGAGATGATACCGTCATGGCATAATCGTCGAGACTATGTCAGGCGATGGTACCGCCCCTAGCAGGGTGCTAGGTGGTGGAACCACCAGATTGGGTGGTGGTACCGCCCAATGCAGCGTTAGTGTCATACTGACACTAGCGGTGGTACCGCTCGAACCTAGGAAACCCAGGATGAGATATTTTTAGGCTCCAAGTTTGAATCAACTTGAGGCCTATAAATACCCCTCTCATCCTTGGTTAACATACATAAGCACAAAGTATTTAAAAGTGAAAAAATGCTGTTGCAATCACTAGAGAAATCCCCTCCTATAGTCTAAGTTTAAATTCTGTTTAGGAGGAGTGTGTGCTTATAAAGGTTGACTCCTAAATATGTGAAAATGAGAAGAGGGGTGTAAGAAGGAGGTTGGTCTTTGCCTATTAAAGGAAGATCGATAGTGGATATCGGTGGCCTCGACGGAAGAGGAATCGGCGAAGTGGATGTAGGTCACGACGACCGAACCACTCTAAAATCTGGTTTGTATTTTACTTTGAGCAATTTATCTTTACTGCAAATCTCTTTAATAACTTACTGCTTTTAATACATTTACGAACGTGTTTCAAGTTTAGATATTTACGAGACGGTTTTTGTCGGAAACGGATTTAATCGCAACGAAGTTTTGAACTGACGTAATTTTTACCACTACACTAAATCACCCCCCCTCTTAGTGCCGACCCCTTTCCTAACAATCAGTATCAGAGCCTCGTTTTCTCATTTGGTTTAACACCTAACGAGAAATGGCTCTTTTTGGCTTTCAAGAGGGTCACTCTCTCATTCGTCCTCCCTTGTTCAATGGGATGGACTACACTTATTGGAAAACTCGAATGAGAGTTTTCTTGCTTTTATTGAATCTTGATTTATCGCATATAGTCGAATCCGGTTTTCAAAGGTCTTCTTTTCCAACGAACCATTGGAATGATTTGTTGAATCTCGTATTTTGATGATGAAACCACTTGATATATGTTTATAATTTAATCTGCGTTTTGAGTGACGCAGGATGCTTCGATCAGGATGAGACAATTAAAGCAGGAAAATCATGTTGTGCCGAAGGAACATGTCAGAAGATTGGACGTCGGGCCGGTGGATCGGTCGACGTATCGACAGAAGGCTTTGGGCTGTGGACTCGGGCATCGGGCCAAGAAGAGCGGGTATTATGCCAAGGATATCGGAGTTGCGGAGTCAACTGGCCGATTGGGCAATAGGCTGCAGGAAAGGACGATGCGCTGAAGAATCGGACGAAGCGTCGAGGGACCAATGACATGCCGGACAACTTGGTTAATTGCTTAGGATTAATTGTCTTGATCGAAGTTTTGTTTATATGTGCAGGATTAACTACGATGAAAGTAAGACATGCAGTAGGAGTTGCACCGGAGTCAAGACAATGATCACGTTGGGAGTTCGAGAGTTCGATGGAAGTTCGGACAGTCGTTGGAGGTTCTGCGGGAATAAATCCGAGAAGTCCATAAGCTTGCCAAAAGAAGCTCGTCGGAACTAGCCAAGTGGATCGTCGCAAGTCTAGGAGTTTGCCGGAAGTCCATAGGAGCATCACCGAGGGTTCATCGGATGATCGACGGAAGTTCGCCGGAAACTCGCTAGAAGAAGCGATTGACGCACCAGAGCAAGCTACAGAAATTGTCTTAGGATTTATCGTAGTTAGCACAATGATTAAGTTGGAAATGGGAGGTGATCCCATTAGCTTAATCTTGGGGCAATTGGGCCCCTAAAAAACTCAAATTGGGCCGAATGGATCTACCTATTCGGACCCTGATTGCTGTGGGAGGTGCAACCGCCCAAGCCAGGAGGTAGCACCACCTGGGCTAAGTCTCCCAGGGAGACTGGGCGGTGCAACCGCCCCAGCCAGGAGGTAGCACCGCCTGGGCTCAGTCTCCGAGCGAGACTGGGCGGTGCAACCTCCCCTGACAAGAGGTAGCACCGCCTGAGCTCGGTCTTCGAGCTCTGGCAGGCGGTGCAACCGCCCCAGTCAGGAGGTGCAACCGCCTGAGCTCAGTCTTCAAACTCTGGCAGGAGGTGCAACCGCCCCTGACAGGAGGTGGCACCGCCCAAAGGCTCAGTCTTCGAGCTCTACCAGGCGGTGCAACCGCTCTAGTCAGGAGGTGCAACCGCCTGATCCCGGAATTCCGGGAATTTACAGTTTTGAGCTCCAAATTTGAACTGGGTTGGGGCCTATAAATATCCCACCCATTCAGCACTGAAAGAGCATGAACTAACACC